TTTTTTATATCGAATATCGTCATCACGTGTGCATTCCATAAGGAAATGTTTTACAGTCTCTACACTGCAACTTTCACAAAACTTAATAACATCGTGTTATTCATTTTAAACGTAACACGGTACTAACAACACAATTCATAAACAACAATAAAGATAATCCAATCAATTTTGTTGATTGGATAATTCACGACTCAGTAGTTGTGTAATCAGTGACACGTGCCCTCATTATTTCATAAGAATTAACATATCTATCTAAGTTCGATTTCAAATTGTACCAAAATTTAACTCTTAAATAAGCAGCGTGTAACGAATATATTCATCCATCCTGTGTGCAAATACGATGACTATAAAGGGCCCTGAGTGCACATTGTATGTCCTGAGTGCACTCAGGAGGTCCTGAGCGGTGTTTAGACGTACCCACTTGACAATGTCAAATCCGACCTGCCACTTTGCAACCTGACCTGCAAAAACATAATTCGACTAAAAATAATGCCAGTCAAAATTGCTTTTTTGAGACTGGACGACTGAAAGAGTTTTAAAATGCGACCTTGTGACCCTACTTGGAATTCTTCATTCATCGGCGTGTGTCGGTTTGGCTAAAAAGGGGGCATTGGTTTTTTTCTTGGGACAAAAAATTGTTTCTATCTTTATTAAAAAAAAAAATTAAGACCAATCATAAACTTTTTTTTCAAAACTCAGTGTCGTATTTTATTGTTTTCCCAACAATTTTTAATAAAAGCTTAAAATGTTTGTTTAACTTCCCTCTGACTTCCCTCCTGATTTTTTTTCTCAAGAAATTATAGAATCAGTAAATGGATATATATATATATATATATATGTCTGTGGTCACCGTCATGCAGTTAGATAAGAAATTCCAGCATGCATCATCAAATAATTCATGTGTATTTGTGACATCAACATAACTGAAACATTATATTATTTCCGAGTAATTATGTAAATCATTTTGATTTACAATTATATATATGTCTGGGACTTATGCATGTATATATCTCACAGGCACTTGTCTCAGAAAAAAAAATCCTATATACTTTAATAAAAGTATATAGGAAAAAAATTCTGAGACAAGTGCCTGTGATATATCTGTCAGTCCCAGAATAATAAATATAATTGTATCTTAATCTGTGGAAAAATCCGATTATTAAATTGTTAAATTCTTTTACGTCAAAATTATATCAAAGTATACTTTTTAAAGTTTTAAATTTTAAAGTTAAAATGAATATTCCGTTTTGATCTGAGGAAAAACTTTTTAAACTGTAATGACATGGTCAGTCAACTGATTTGTTGCATGGCTGATTACAGGTAATAAAAGCATGCAGTAATTTTCCATTACGACAGTGCGTGTACCCTGGGGTGTGTATAACGTATTAGAAATATCATAGTTTTCTAGAGAACATCCTGTCTATGTGTAATACAGATTGATGACATTACACAAATTTTTTTTTGTTAAATGTAGTTAAGTATCTGTGTCCGTTCCCTATTGCAACACTACAATTCTTTCGAAGAAAAAAATGTTAAAATTAAAAAAAAAAAAAAATGTATATAAAATAAAGAAGAAAAAAGTAGCAAATTAACTTATGTAACTACGCATTGAGTAAACATAATTTCACTTTACATGTACAAACCCTTGAGAAAACGTATATATAGATGTGTTTAAAAAGGCCAATTCCCAGTGGATTTATTTCACACTAGGACCACAGGCACTTGTCTCAGAATTTTGTTTCCTATATACCTTAATACAGGGACTTTCTATACTAACTTAGTATAGAAAGTCCCTGCTTAATATAACATTAAAAGTATATAGGACATTTTTTTCTGAGACAAGTGCCTGTGACTAGGAACGAAGATAACTAGAACTAAGTTCATTGGAAAGTCTTTTTGTCTGATACATGTATACCTATAGATAATGGACATAATTAAGAACAGCTTCAAATATATGCCTATAAATTAACGGTACGTCTAAAAACCGCTCAGGACCTCCTGAGTGCAGACAGGACATAAAAAGTCACTCAGGACATGTATATATGTTTTAGTGAGCGTTGAGGGTATACATTCGATAGATAATTTAATATTTGATCTTATAATTTCGGTTTTGATAAAATCAAACCAACATTAAAGAAGTTATTTGGGATACGTCATGCATGACCGATGATCATATTCAATACCAATCATCATTTTGATTACGACGTTTGATCTTTAATAATTAGGACTGATTGGTGATGGTTATATACACATACAAGTAAACTTTGCAAACAAAAAAAAAACAAAAAACGTTTCCTTGGAAAAATTATAAAAATACATGAATATTGTTTTTACAAAAAAAGTTAAATAAATTTTTCGTTTTGTATGTAATAATTGAAGCCATTTAGAAATATAAGAAATCTTCACATAGTCGGGAAATTTTCAATTCAAGTTATTTCATTTGAAAACGTTAACAAATATAGATCTTATTCGATGTAAAATGTGGCGTCCTTGGAGATCAAAACCCCGTTTAAATAGGGTTTGTCTACTTTCGTCTATTGCCGAACATTCTATAATATAATGAATCGCGTCGCCAATATCACCACAATTACATAAAGTACAAATACAATCTTCTCCTAAATATTTGGCATCTTACAATTACAATAGGAAATTTTGAGTCGAAACTGAAGTACCAAATCTACAAAAAAAATCACTATTTTTTGTAGTAGTAGGCGTTGAAAACTAAACTGTTTATAATCTTTTTTTTTCTCCTAAATTAATTGAAACTCCTGAAATAATTTAACATTATCTATAGACAGCTTACATATGCAAATCGTTTTAGAAGTATGTGAGTGTATAGTTATAATTTGTTCATTAACCCCCCTTTTTCCTTCTATAAAATTACATTGTAATCGATTTTATTTCCAAATTTGTGTTTGCTAGGATTGACACTTAGAACGTACAACAAAAAGTAACAAGTAAAAAGTCACGATTCAATTTTGGGATATTTTTTTCTTTTAATAAACTTAATTTTAAAAACGTTTCAGTATTTTTCTGAAACATTTTTAAAAGGAAACGGACTTGTAAACAAAATTTATTTTTGAATATTAATATGAACAATGATTGTTAAGAAAACAATCTGCCAAAGTGGTTTGGTAATTAACTGAAGTCATGCTGTCAAAAATGTCTCCTTTTTATAAGTTATTGATAAAAAAAAACTATTTGAAGGCGAATTAATCATTTCCTCAACTAAATACATTTATCTATAAATAAAGTCAATTCGTCAAGAACTTTCTCTCATATATTTAAACAATTGTAAAATAATTAATTTAAACCTTTGTCCTGCGACTTTCTGTCCGTTTACCAATACTTATTCCTTGTTAAGTTCTTTCATATCCATTTACGAATACTTATAACGTGATAATTAATTTTTCCGGATGCTTTTTATCCTATTTTCATATCAAACAACCATGTTACCCGTAGAACGGAGTTAAGTACAAATTTAGGAATTTAGTACTTAAAATTTTCAACAACAAAATTTTACACTTTCATTTACCTGGATTTTTTTCTACGCTTCGAAGCCGCCACCCTGTATCAAACTTATCCAACACCTCGCATGGCGTATTCACGATGTGGAGGAATTGACAATATACAATCAAAGTTAGCAATATACAGCAAGTAAGTAATTGGTGTTGAATGCCAGTAGATCTGAATTTGTAAATTTTTAGATTGAATTTAACCTGTTTAGAACGTGTATTGTTGAATTGTTCAATAAAATTACACACATAATCTGGGCTGATATGCATAAAACCACTTTAAGTTCAAGGTATCAATAAAACTGGGTCTGCATGAAAAAATGACTTATCACATAATACCAGAACCTATGTTTAGCCTACTGTTACACGATAAGAAAATATAGCTGTAGGCCTAGTTGAAAATCTTTACAAATTATTTTTTCTTTTAATTTCTGTTTGACTGTCTGGGTGCTTCTTATGTGTTTTAAATGCTATAGTCAAGTTTTATAGACTGTAACAAGTACGTCATTTGGTCGTTTTTAAGTTTTTGCCATGGCGTTTGTCAGTATGTCTTCGACTTATAAGTTTTATCAAGGATTTGTATAGTGAGATTGGTTTTATATAATCTGCATCTCTTGTACTGTATTTTAAAATGTATTACAATTGCTGCATCTTTACACATTCATCAATACACCAAAAAATATGAATAAAGCTTTCGTATATATATAAATAAAGAGATGTGGTACGATTGGTAATGAAACAACTATCCGCCAGTTCAATTCAAAAACCTAATATAAGCAAATGTGACTTACTTACTTACTTTAGTCAGAGAGATCTTGAATCTGAATTCAAGGATACGAAGTGGGAAGGGTTTAGAGGTGGATTAAGGTGAGGGCATGGGGGCCCGCCCCTTTTTTGGAAAAAAATTGGTTGATTATTTAGAGAATCACTGAAGCGGGCCCCCTCTTTATGCATGACAGTTAGTGCCTCCTTATGACATTTTTTGGATCCGCAACTGGTGAGGACTTCATAAAAAAATATTTAGTAAGTTTTTGTTTTGTGATAAATAATGTATTTAGACAGAAATAGGATAAAATAAACTACTGAAAGCTTAAGTCCACATAACAGGGTATGGATGGGGGTTAACAGAATAGAGAATAACGGGCAAACAATAAAGATTAAAGAATAATGAAATGCTAAAATATAAGGGAAGAGAGTAATGAGCAAAAAGTGTAAGTTTGTAGAAATATAGCAAAAACAATAAATAAAGAACACAGAAAAAGAAGACTCCCCCCCCCCCCCCCCCCCCCCCAAGATCCTGACTTCAACTTTAACGCTGCCGGGATATTTTTTAGACAAAGTGCAGCCGAAACCACTAAGCGTTTTGCATCCATACGTTTTTTTTCCGGGATACTGACTGCATAGTAAAATATCAATGTACTAGTTAATGTTCTCGAGGGATGACCCTATTACAGAGAGATATATACACATATGTGTAAATATGTCTCTGCCCTATTACGTGTCAGTAAGTTAACCTCCTCGACACGGTTCATTTTTACGGCGGCTCAGTTTTGTCTTAATAAGAATAAACATAATTGATAAGTTTCTTTCCCCTGCATTTCTCGATCGCACTTGTAAATAGCACATTGGTCTCAAGACATTGGTTACAACACTTGCCGTCAGTACTCAAAATTGGAAAAATATTAAATAAGAAGGTATAGAAAATTAAATTAATGCACACACACTATTATCAACCACAGACATGATGTTTTTCTCAATTTGCCTAAATCGTTATTCCGCAATACAACGAGGATGAAAACCCACCACTTTGAACACAGTCACAGTCACAGGCACCGGCATGCTGTGAACTTGTAAGTTTCCCAAATGAGTAACTATCCATTACTTTTCTAGTGTAAAGTTTTATTTAATACACATTTGATTTGAAATGGCATATCAGAGAGATATATAAACCTATATCATAGGTTGATCCGGGGTGGGGGGGCTTTCTTGGGAAAAATTTGGTTGATTATACTGATCACTGAAGCATGACTGGAGCCGGCCCTCCCTTATGAAAAGTTCTGGATCTGCCACTGCATGTATATTCATAAAATAAACCAACAAATTATCCAAAAGATGAATAATACTTAATACTTACGACTAAGATTGATTATAAGTATACTTGAGTTGGTTTTACAAAAAAAAAAACTTACAATTTATCGTAAGTATACTGTATTGTACATGACTTAATTACTATCAATATTATTTGTAAGTTTTTTTGTGAAACAGACTGCTGAATTGTTTTTCCATGCTTATGGTACATCTAAGTCGTATGCTTTTTTTAAAACCACCTCCAGGGTATAATGTCTGCTCGCCCATAGAATCTGTTTGTAGATATAGGAAGATGTGGTATGAGTGCCAATGAGACAACTCTCCATCCAAGTCACACAATTTATAAAAGTAAACCATTATAGGTCAAGGTATGGTCTTCAACACAGAGCCTAGTTTTTATCAAAAATGAAATATATTGATATTAATAGTATACAGGTTAAATAATTTATTCATACATTTTTAATTGACTGACTAGAATTATCATGATTATTGAGGAATTTAAACCATTCCTATTTTTAAAAAGGGACAAAAATAAAATTTATATATAATAACAGGGTGATACAAATGAGAAAAACTCAAGAAATTATTTTCAATTAAGATAAATACATGGTTTTCAGTTGTTTTTTAAAGCAGAGGCAGATTTAGTTTAAAGTTGGAAAAAATTGTTTGTACCAACAAAAATAAATACACAAAGTTAATCCAGAATTATGTGTTTATCATTTTTTTTTATGTTTAGGTTGCCAGCAAGATGAAAAGAACAATGCAGTTCAAAAGTCAAAATGTGGATAAGCTGCGGTACAAGGTCCTACTTTTGCAGATTTTCATATTTTGCATGAATGAATTTGAAGTTTATATCATGGAGGGCAGAGAAAGAAAAGAAACACTTCAGTTTTCCTGCTTCTGAAGGATAAATGTAAAACATCTTGTTTGGTAAGTTTTATGCTCTGTTATGATAGTGTTTGTGCATCCATCTGTCTTTCTCTAAATTGTATTCACTTAAAAGTTTTTGGTTACAGTTCACCATGAACTTCAGTTAGTAACTTGCGGTTTTACACGTTTATACTCAAAATTTAGTACTTTAAAATGTTCATGTATTTTTGTCGAGCCTGCAACTTTTGTCGCAGAAAGCTCGACATAGGGATAGTGATCCGGTGGCGGCTACAGCAGTGGCGTTAGCACGGGGGGTCTCTTCCTATATTAAGGTATATACATATGTGCCACTGGAATGGGTCCCTATTTTGATGCATCAAATATATCAATGGGGTGCAATTTTACCGATGAAATATATCAATGGGTCATAATTTTTCAGTTTGTTGTGCAACTATCTTCACTTAATGGGTTATGATTTTGCTGTGAAATATATGTATAGGTAGGGATTTCACAATTATTCAATATATGAATGGGGGGGGGGGGGTGTTTTTTAAATTCCAGCTGCACAACTGTACTGTACCCAAAATCCCATGTTGAGACCCCCCCCCCCAATGTCCATTGTCCTTGACCTCATTTTCATGGTTCAGTGACTACTTGAAAAAAAAGTTCAGATTTTTTGTAATGTTAATTTCTCTCATATTATGAGTAATAGGATAACTATATTTGGTATGTGCGTACCTTGCAAAGTCCTAATGCTTGTCAGAGAGTTTTCACTTGACCTAGACCTCATTTCATGGATCAGTGAACAAGAACTTAGTCTTAGATGCATGATTTTTTTATTAGTTGTTAGTGGCTTTGTACTAGCTGTCAGTAACTGCGAGTACTCTCAGATCTGTACTAAGTGTCTTTTTGTTGTTTGGATGTACAAGTACCCGGCCACGTCCACTTGTATTTGTAGTATTTGTATTTTTATCCATCTGATGAGTTAAGCCTCTTTCAACTGATTTTTATTTTGCAGTCGTATATTGGTATGACGTTGGCGTCGGCGTCGTCGTCGTCGTCGTCCGAAGACACATCGGTTTTCGCACTCTAACTTTAGTTAAAGTGAATGGATCTCTATGAAATTTTACCATAAGATTCAATACCACAAAAGAAAGGTTGGGATTGATTTTGGGGGTTATGGTACCAACAGTTAAGGAATTAGGGGCCAAAAAGGGGCCAAAAATAAGCATTTTTGTAACTTCCAGACATAACTTGTGTGTTAGTGTATGGATCTCTCTGACATTGTACCACAAGGTTCCATATCACAAAGGGAATGCTGGGATTGATTTTGGGGGGTAATTGCCTCAAAATTTCAGGAATGAGGGGCCAAAAAAGGGGCAAAAAACAAGCATTTTTCTAGTTTCATGACAATAACTTGTGTGTAGGTGTATGGATCTTTCTGAAATTGTACTACAAGGTTCCATATCACAAAGAGAAAGCTGGAATTGAGTTTGGGGGTAATTGCCTAAAACGTTTAGGAAAAAGGGGCCAAAAATAAGCATGTTTCTAGTTTCCAGACAATAACTTGTGTTCAAGTGTATGGATCTCTCTGAAATTGTACTGCAAGGTACCATACCACTAAGGGAAGACTGGGATTGATTTTGGGGGTAATTGCCTCAAATTTTAGGAATTTGGGGCAAAAAAGGGGCAAAAAACAAGCATTTTTCTAGTTTCAGGACAATAACTTGTGTGTAAGTGTATGGATCTTTATGAAATTGTACTACAAGGTTCCATATCACAAAGGGAAAGCTGGGTTTGAGTTTGGGGGTAATTGCCCTAAACGTTTAGGAATTTGAGGCCAAAAAGGGACCAAAAAACAAGCATTTTTCTAGTTTCCAGACAATAACTTGTGTTCAAGTGTATGAATCTCTCTGAAATTGTACTGCAAGGTACCATACCACAAAGGGAAGGCTGTTATTGAGTTTTGGGGTGATGAATCATAAGGGGGTTCAAAAATTTGGGGGGGGGGGGGGGATTTTTTTTTCCTTTTTTTTTCTTTACAATTTTTCATTTTAAATTGGTTATTTCTGATTTATATATAAAAGCAAATAATAATGATATGGTTTGAATAGGTAAATTAAAATTTTTTAAGTTCTTAGAACACATTCATTCTGTGTCAGAAACCTATGCTGTGTCAAATATTTAATCACAATCCAAATTCAGAGCTGTATCAAGCTTGAATGTTGTGTCCATACTTGCCCCAACTGTTCAGGGTTCGACCTCTGCGGTCGTATCAAGCTGCGCCCCAGCGGAGCATTTTATTATTGTTCGTTCTTATGTTGTACTGTTACACCACTGTCCCAGGTTAGGGGGAGGGTTTGGATCCCGCTATCATGTTTAACCCCGCCACATTCTGTATGTATGTGCCTGTCCCAAGTCAGGAGCCTGTAATTCAGTGGTTGTCGTTTGTTTATGTGTTACATATTTGTTTTTAGTTCATTTTTTGTACATAAATTAGGCTGTTAGTTTTTCGTTTGAATTGTTTTACATTGTCATTTCGGGGCCTTTTATAGCTGACTGTGCGGTATGGGCTTTGCTCATTGTTGAAGGCCGTACGGTGACCTATAGTTGTTAATTTCTGTGTCATTTGGTCTCTTGTGGAGAGTTGTGGTCTCATTGGCAATCATACCACATCTTCTTTTTTATATTTAAGGTTAAGTTTTGGTGGTCAAGTCCATATCTCAGATACTATAAGCAATAGGTCTAGTATATTCGGTGTATGGAAGGACTGTAAGGTGTACATGACCAACTGGCAGGTGTCATCTGACCTTGACCTCATTTTCATGGTTCAGTGGTTATAGTTAAGTTTTTGTGTTTTGGTCTGTTTTTCTCATACTGTATGCAATAGGTCTACTATATTTGGTGTATGGAATGATTGTAAGGTGTACATGTCTAGCTGGCAGGTGTCATCTGACCATGACCTCATTTTCATGGTTCAGTAGTCAAAGTTAAATTTTTGAGTTTTGGTCTTTTTTTCTAATACTGAATGCAATAGGTCAACTATATTTGGTGTATGGAAACATTTTATGATGTACATGTCAGTCCCGCAGGTTTAATTTGACCTTGACCTTATTTTAACGGTTCATTGCTCAGTGTTAAATTTTTGTGTTTTGGTCTGTTTTTCTTAATCTATAAGCAATAGGTCAACTATATGTGTTGTATGGAAGGATTGTAAGCTGTACATGTCTGCCTGGCATGGTTCATCTGATCTTCACCTCATTTCCATGGTTCATTGGTCAATGTTTAGTTTTCTTGGTTAAGTCTGCTTCTTAGAAACTATAAGCAATACCGGTAGGTCAACTGTATTTAGTAATTTGAATGATTGTAAGGTGTACATATATTTTTTGTCAGGTTTATATGACCTTGAATTCATTTTCTTGGATCATGTTGAGTTTATGTGATAGTTGTAGTAAGGCTTTATATTTAGGACTATCAACATGATATGATTAGTAAAGAAGGCGCAACATTTCAGCGTGTGCACTCTTGTGTATACATTAAACACCACATTTACTGTTTTTACCCTGATTGTATGGATCACTGAACATAGAAATGTCATAATGTGAAATTATAGTACATTCTTAGGTTAAGGTTCATAGCTTACCATGAAGTTGAATGTCATACACATGTTCATTATGTGGTGAATTTTTAAATTCAGTGCCAAACTAAGATTTTGAGCCTGATTACATGGTTGACTAGACATTGACACATGCTAGTGTTTGCCAGGCATTGTGTCCTGTACTAGGAATTTGTCCTGTACTATTCTAAGAACTTTAATAGTACTCGCTGAGTATGGAGTTTTTGTGAAAGTTTAATATTAGTGAGATTTTTGCATGACATCCTGTCAACTGCTTGTTGATCATGTTTATACATGTCTTAAAATTAATATCTGACACATTGGTGATTTGTGAACTTGGAAATAAGTTATTTGATAGAATAATAATGTTTTGAGAGTATCAAAATAAAAAATATCCCATTTTTACTACATTGTGTATTAATGATTAAGTATATAAAAAAGAAGATTTAGGATAAATGTATAACCATATATAAAAATGAGACAGCAACCGAACAACACAAAAATAAGAAAAAAAACAATATAATTTTTTGTATCAATGTTATAATTTCCAACATGTCCATAGAGTTCAATGTATTTTCTAATTGAAATAAAACACAAGTGGAACTCTTTCAGAACTTCAGAAGCTTAAAGAAGTGCTGTTTCTATTGTTGGCTTTCCGTATAATATATTGCAAATTCTTGTGAAAAATGGAATTTTATTGTAATTGCCTAAGGTTTTAACATTGATCTATATATATATAACTGGGGAAAATACCCAAATGTTATAAAGAAGAATACATAAATTGATTGTTATATAATATTAGAATAGGAAGATGTGGTATATTGCTAATTTGACAACTCTCCATCAGAGACCAAAGGATGTAGGAGGTAAGCAACTGATGACACTGGACAACCTTCAACAATCAGTAAAATCCATACCGCATAGCTATTTTTATTGAAAATCATATGTTCTTGCTACATGTATGCAAACAGTTTTTTATTATCCATAACTTCGGATTTTATTGGTTCTTTTTCAGAAGGATTGAAATTCATCACTGAGAATAAAAGGAGAAAACACAGAAACAAGACCAAAATAAATTCAAAATCAAAAGTCAGATCAGTTATTATTTTCATCACTCAGCCAATGAATTGAATTTCTATTAAATATCTAAAGATATTAAAACCACAATAATGAAAATGTTCTGTGCTGAATGGCAAAAAAGTGGACTATACATTACGATCACACAATGCTGGATGATAAGAAACTATTAATTTTTTGGGTGGAGGGATATCCTGAAAAAAAAATAGATTTATGTAAAAAGCTACTAGTATGTTAAGCCTTTTAATAGAGTTTTCATTGATTTCAAATGGGAAAAAAATGTGTTTTAAAAAAGTATTCTAGAATTCATAAATAAACATATATTGATACTTACATTATCTGCTTTGTTGTTTAAAAGTTTAGTTTTGAACAGTTATAGAACAATATAATTGCATTAACATTTCCAAGGAAAAAAAAGATATTCAACTAAAAAGATTCATCTTAAAACAATTTACTACCAAACAGAATTCATTGTAACATACACATTTATTTACTGTATATTTATAATTTGAATCATAGGATTTTATTTTGTCCCATGGGATATGAAAAATCCCATGGGATAATTATAGTCCCATGGGATTTTGTTTGTCCCATGGGACAACAAATATCCCATGGGACTACAATTATCCCATGGGACCCAAAAAAATCCTATGGGATTTAACCAAAATCCCATGGGATAATGGTCAATCCCATTGGATTTGCCCTATCCCATGGGATATTGAAAATCCCATGTTTTTCTAAATCAAATTACAAAATATATATAATAATAACAGCAGAAAAGCAATGAATTTATTGAATCCCATGTAATTCCGCAAATTTTGGTTATATACACGACACTGTAGCTCTAAGGAGAGGCGGCGGCGGATTTGCAAATGAGTGTTTTGCAAATTAAAAGTGTCCAGTGTTCGGCCTGTCTTTTCTGGTCTCTCTTTTTTCTTCTATTTTTTCTGAGTCTAGAGTACCCCTTGTAAGCCCCACTGAAAAGCCACCAAGCCACAAATCCTCTTTTTCCATATGCTGGCTGAAAACAATGTACCGGTTTTGTTCATTGTTGATGTCTGTACAGTGACTCATAACTGCTTACAACCACTTTATTTGAACTTTGGTGGATAGTTGTCTCATTGACAATCATACCACATCTCCTTATTTGACTATAGGTTATTTGAAGTAGATGACTAACAAACATTCAATCATTTGAAAAAATAAATTCTACAATGATTTACATGTTGTCATTTTGAGATTTCAATATATCTATATGTATCAACAATAAAATTTGGTTGTATAAATAGTGTCACTATGTTTGTAATTGTCAACGTTTTTTTGTAAACACTTCATTTAAGTTCCCTTATTTAAAGTAATTATGAACTGATTCCAGTTTAATATTTTGGGCCATTAGAAATGTACTGTAAATTCAAAAATAATTAATGTTTTTTTATTAATGCGAATAATAACTTATTGCATTTATACAAACTCGCGTTCTGATATCTGATCATATATATCTGTATGCAACTTTTTCTGAAATTGTAATAATCTATATTTGTTGTGGACCTAAAATAAAGAATTTTGATGAAAGTTATCAAAATTGCCAGTATTCAACCACATTTATGCCTAGGAAAAAAGTAAAACAACAAAAATACCGAACTCCAAGGGAAAATTTAAAACGGAAAGTCCCTTAAGAATTGTCAAAATCAAAAGCTCAAACACATCAAACGAATGGAGGGGCCTCGGTGGCTGAGTGGTCTAAGTAGTTACTACTGTAATCACTAGCCAGTCAACACTGAGGTTGTGAGTTCGAACCCCGCTCGTGCCGGTGCACTCGACTCCAATCTTATTTGACTAGGATTGTCAGTTTTCCTATCGAAGGTCGGTGGTTTTCTCCGGGCATTCCGGCTTCCTCCACCAATAAAAACTGGCCGCCACGAAATAGCCCAAAAGCGGTGCTTAAAAGTGGCGTTAAAACACCAAAAATCAAAAATCAAAATCAAACGAATGGAAAACAACCGTCATATTGGTACAGGCATTTCCTTATGTAGAAAATGGTGGATTAAACCTGGTTTAAAAGCTAGCTAAACCTCTCATTTGTATGACACTTGCATGAAATTCCATTATATTTACAACAATGTGTGAACAAAACAAACAGACATAATAGGTAAAAATGTCAAAAATAGGGGTACAGCAGTCAACATTGTGTAATAATCTCAATCACTATAAAAACAAACAAATATGTCAACAAAGAAAAACATATAGACAAAGCACATACGCAAAAATGAAAAACAAGAATACAAAAAATGACCACAGCACAAAACACAATGGCGGGAAATGAAGAGCGCAGAGTTTGACAAACTAAATACTTTAAATTCAAAAATTATTGTTAGGTTTTTATTAAATGAAATCAAATAATGCGACAAAATGTAGGTGGTATCGTTGATAACTTAAACACATCAATAAAGAATGCTAATTGTATTGTATAGACACCTTTAAAAGATTGCAGGTTGAAAAAAATACATATTCATTTAGTATTTACGTTGTCAGGAAGCTGACCCTATTGACGTATTTTTTTAAAGGTCCTTCACTCTACATTTCACTGCCCAGTGGAATGTTTTTTTTTTTTTAATAATTGGTATTTGATTAACAAAACCGAACGGCCACTGCTACTGTATTCAAACTGATCTTTAATGATAAGCAAAAAATATTAATGATAAACTCTGTCTTTCAGTTGCCGTTACACAGCGACTAGATAAACATATCATATATTCTGCTTAAGATTTGTTGAAATCATGACGTAATTACTCCAGTTGCATTCATTTTGTAGATATATTATGATACAGAGGAAATATCTTTTCAAAGTGTAAGTGAAACACAAAACAAAATTGAACCAAAGTTTGCTGCTTAGGTCAACATTGGCTCATGATGTTAAGTAACTTAAAGTTAATCCTCTACACTGAACTTGAAACGATATGGTATTATATTCTATAAGGATGACTGGTATAATATTCGATGAGAGAAATGTCCGCTAGAGACCAACGTACGTGGATGTATGCAATTATTCGTCACCGTAAGGCTTTCAACAATGATCGAAACGTTTACCGTACGGGATAGAAGAAAAACTAAAAGGCTTCTGTATGAAAAAAAAATGTGACAGAAGTACACATCAAAATCAAAACACATGCGTTATGCTAAAACAAACATCGACAAACAAAACTGACAGACAATGACAACAACTGAATTAAAGGCTGACTTGATAACAGGCACATAGAAAATTTGGAGTGGTTAAACATGTTTCTGAGCACTCAAACTTCTCTCATAACTAGGTGAACATAGAAAAAAATGTAACAACACAACATTGGTGAAATTAAATCAAAAGACTCGTGTAGAGAGAGTGCAACGCTCTCTGCACGTTAAGAACATTAAATCAAATGACTCGTGTAGAGAGAGTGCAACGCTCTCTGCACGTTAAGAACTTTTGCAATAACTCTTTGAGGGTTCCGTAGATGGCCTGTTGCAAGGCAAAATTTCTTTCTCTATCCAATGAGAGTTGAAATTGTCTCGTTCATCATTTCGGACTGTCTCTATTACATGACCTATCTCTTGTATGTATTGTGACTTTGTTTTCGTCCTGAACATGCATGAAATATTTGTCACTGGACGTTAAGCGACCGACAATTAATCAATCAATCATTTTCAAAATCATTTTTTTTCACCTATTGTAACGCTTTTTTAGCCTGTTATGGCTTATATAACGATTTTCTGAAGATACCGACCATTCATCTTTGTTGGTAAAGCCATTTTTTGTTACATTGATAGAAAAATTAAAAAAAAAAATTAATAACATACAGGAAAAATTTCTAAACTTCATGTTTAAACGCCAGCCATTCATTTGCAATGTAATCAACCGATTGTTATCACTTCCCTCCTGGAACAAATATATTTTTTCTTAAAAATACATTTGAATTTAAACAATTAATCTACCCTCCACCAAAGACAAATATAATTGAAGAAATAAAAATATGAATTGGTCTACGCCAAACAAAAGTTTACAGAGAAATTTTTTCTCGCTGTTATTTAGTTCAAGATAGTGATTTTTATAGAAGTCCACATTAGCTTCACAGCTTCTGCATGATAAATACATGCATGTATAACAGCTTAAATAGTTTTGATCTTTCACAGAGACGTTCTTGATTAGTAAAACATACGGTAAAATAATAGAGATTATCAAAATTTTATATTTTCAATAATCTGGTTTAATTCAATCAAATATTTGTGTGGGTGTTGCAGCGTTTAGCTCATTGCCATATATGGCATTGCCATAGATGGCGCTCTCACGTGGAATTTGAATTTTGGAATTCCCGTATCTGGCACTTGTTAATTAGTTGTCGACAACGAAGCAGGTGCTGCAGAAAATAGTTTAATTATTTAAAACTAAAAGATGCCAAACAAAAGAAATGCCAGGGGATCGCCATCAAGGGCTATTGGAAAGTAGAGGAAGAAAACCAGCAGGAAGGAAGGACAGGGAGTTCGGACCGTAGACATGACTCAAAAGGAGGACGGAGTTGGGCGCAAACGAATGGACAGGAAAAGACAGGAGGTGGAACACGTGGAGGCACACGTACAGGAAGAAGCTGACATATTATCAGGTAATGAGTCGGAGGAGGATGCACGGGCATTCCTCCTTTTATGCACGAACCGTCATGCACAAATTGTGAAATGGCACATAATTCAAATGATTTCACCCCGACACAAGAGGCTAGCGATCATGACACAGTGGGGGGACACGTGCCTTTTAAAATTAGGGAAAAGATTTGGGAGGGAAAGTTTATTGAGCTACATATTCTTTTGAGAACGCAAAAAGAAATGGAGGAGGTTGACGAGGGCGATTTAAAATTAAAAAGGGGGAAAATTTGCATTGAAAAAAGATCGTCGGGTATTGATTTGTTTATAAACGAATGGACTTCAGCATTCATGGTATCTATGAGTGTTTACATTGAGACATACAGGACTCGTGCACATGAATTG